TCTCTCTCTCTCTCTCTCTCTCTCTCTCTCTCTCTCTCTCTCTCTCTCTCTCTCTCTCTCTCTCTCTCTCTCTCTCTCTCTGTGTGACACGGTACAAAAGTCGAAGGAATGAACGTGAGAACGAAATCACATGATCGCCCACCAATCACGATTTGCCGAGTCAACGACCGTAAATAGATGAGGTGGCATTGGGTGCATGATGATGGCGGTGTTGTGGTAGATTGACGCAATTTTTTTCATTCTGTTCATTACCATCTCTCTCTCTCTCTCTCTCTCTCTCTCTCTCTCTCTCTCTCTCTCTCTAACACACAGTACCGATATAATCGTTGTATTTTCCTCATCCTATGAAAAAGAAAGAAGGGAACAAAAAATCGAACGAATTTTCGGATATAACATCAAAATCAACACTGCTGCAGGCTTGCGCGCGTCTGCGTGTGTGTGTGTGTGTGTGTGTGTGTGTGTGTGTGTGTGTGTGTGTTAGCATGAGCAAAATTGATCGAATGTTGCATGACGGACCAGCGCAAGTTGATGTTGTTCGGTATATTCGTTCAATTTTGCTCATGCTATGAAAAAAGAATATAAAAAAAAAATAGTCCAAACAATTGTATTTTGTTTATAATTTTAAAAATCATTCGAGATGTTTCTTTAGAGAGGTGTGATTGTATCCTCTCATAATTATATCGTAGGAATTTGATATATATATAAAAACATGACAAGCTAGTTGAAGAAAAACTTTCCTGAAGCAGGCATTCTATGGGGCTCGTTCGACACTCCTCGGGCGCGTAAATACCCCGAGGAAATGATCGTTCCACTTATCCTCGGGGAACAAATTGAAAATAAAATGTGAAAACAATTCCTCGGGGATTCCTCAGGGATTCCTCGGGCTACAGCCATCCCGACGCGTTCCCCAAGGGACCTCCCGAGGTCCCTCGGAGGTCGAGCATCCGGAAGAATCGGGGCGTCGACGGCATCTCTCTCGACGACATTTTCCTACGCGGCCTGGTCCATTGCTGTTCCTGGCGGTCTTGGACGGACATCTTCGGTCGGCAATGGTCGGCGTCATGGAACTGCCCACCAACGGTCGTCGTTGACGGTCTGCCGGCCTCCGCGACGTCGAAAAGGGGCCGTCTTGCGTCGCTGCCCTTGGCCCCGAGCGGGAAGGCGCCCAACGGTCGGCAGATTCGAATACTTCAGCCGGCCCCCGCCGTCCTGATTGCGCAGTGTCTTCCACGACAGAATAGGTTACGGTGATTTTGTCGATATCTGCGATCGGGCGTTTGCAGCACTGTCCCTCGCCGTTACCACAAAGATCCACCGTTGTCTTCTAACTGCTGCCGTCGTTCACGTGCGTTTCATGACCGACGTCTTTCGAAGGCTGCCGCTGCTGGTGCTGGTCGTCCTGTTGCTCCTCCTCTTAGTTGTCTTCCACGTGTGCATCCTTGGCAGCGTTCCTCGACGTGGTCGCAGAAGACGCTCTTTGAAGAAGGATGTCAGGATGGAGGGACGGCAGGCGATCAGCAGGTCTGCAGGCGAGCAGGTTGGTGGGCAGCGGGGTGGCCCCAGCCCGTCTCAGATTACACGGCCGTCCTCAGGGCGGTCTGCGCATGCGCACCTACCACCGCACTTGCAACCGCTGCCGGACACGTCCGACGAGGAGGCGGATTCTGCTTTGACGGTGGCAGTGGCGGGAAAGGAGGTTCTCGCCAACAAGTCTTTGGTAGTGAAGACAAGAGAGATGGAAGACGGGGAGGGGGGGGGGTTGTGGGGGGGTGTTCTATGTCTTCGTCATCGGTCATGGGAGTTGACGTTCTCGTGATGGCAGTCATCACTGTGGTGGATCGGATGTCGTGGGGGGGTGTAATGAATATTTTGTCTTCTGTATTTTTTTTTTTTGATAATGGCAAATCGATGTTCGCTTCTGTTAAAGCGAACATCTAGTTCTGTTGATCGCTATTCTTCATGTATGGAACTTGTTTTCGCTTCCTTTTCAGTCCGGTTTATTTTGTTGCATTCACACTTGTAATGGTAATGGGGATGGAAAGTGGGAAGGGAATTTTGCCTAAAGCAATGGATTATGAGAGATTGAGGGTTGTTCATTCACGTAATTGCAAATGTGGGCAGGGAAGTTTGCTTTATTTTTTTTTTTGCATTCACGCTTGTAATGGTAAGGGGGATGGAAAGTGGGCAGGGAAGTTTGCTTGAACCAATGAATGATGAGAGATTGAGGGTTGATCATTCACATAGTTCGATAACGAACGAAGGCAATACAAATAACACACAGAACGTCTTGCTATTATCTACTTTCATCCGTCGTGAAGTAAGAACACAAAGCACACGACATAAAATATTTGCATGACCTCTTTTTCGTATGTTGTCGCTCGTAGT